CTGGGGAGGGTTGGGGGTAAGAGAGAAGAGGGAGGGGGGTAAGAGATCAACCGAAGGACTTGTATGCATGCATATAAGCATAACCAATGGACATAAGACACTGCGGGGTAGGGGAGTCCGGGAGAATGTCAAGGGGGGAAAAAAAGGAGACATATGTAATAAGAAATAAAAACATTTCTTTGAGACAAAAAAAAACACCCTCTAGTTCATTGGGAATTCACTTTTGCATATGTTCACTATATGTGATTCATGTTTGATTTTACCATGTGAATTTCATATCTTGGTTCTATTTCAGGAATGTTGGACATCCAGAGCCATTTTGCAGTTCCAGAAGCTGTGTGGTTTGAAGCCATTAGTTGGGGTAGTAGATGAATACATAGATGGGATCCTTAACATTTTTTTGTGTGATACATCCTCAAATGAAGACGTCTATTTCCATCATGTCTTGAGAACAGAGGGCCATGCTATTGTATGCCGAGAAAATGTCCCTTCTAAGGTGGAGCAGTATTTTGTAATTTGTTTTATTTAATCTCAACAGGTATGAGAGAATTTATAAGAGAATTTAATACAGAAGGTTACTTGATTTATTCTCTAGTCTTAGATACCTGTGAGATTCCTGCCTTCTCAATGCAGAGCACTCTCTTCATTTTCAGATGACCATAAACAACTGCAGTTAGCTTCCTGTCCTTTAGACTATGAATACTTGTATTTTAAATAATTGAGAATTTACCCTGAAGTATTTAATTCTCTCAGGTGTACTTAGAGAAGAACAGTACTTTCTTATCTTGCAATTATTGACATCCATGTTTGCATTACCATTAATATTGATGTTGAGAATTTTTCTGACTAGGAAAAACTTTCATTATTTGTAACTATTAATTTTAGAAGATAATACATTTCCACAACAATTGAAAATTATTAAGTGCTAACTTTTTCACTTTTCTCTGAGTAATTAAACACTTTCTTCTTTATTTTATCCTAGGGTTTCAGCGAACTCAATCCTTTAACTTTATACACTAAATCCAGTGAAGGGCCAGAGGATGGCTTGACAGGACTTGGTTGTCCTTCCCAGAACCACTATTTTAATGAAGACCGAGAGATAAGTCCACAGTCAAAAGAGAGTGATTTATATACGCCGGTAATAGGTTTTTGCAAATATGATTATAATTATTTTTATTGTTAACATTTAATTAGTGTTTACTGTATGCCAAACACTATATACAGAACTTGAAGTATGATATATTAACCTTCATAAAGTCCCTGTGACGTAGTTACTATAATAATTGTATTTTATAGGTAAGGAAACTGAGGGTTTCCAAACCCAGGAAATACCTAGTGAGAGACAGTTACCTATACCTCTCATAAATTTCTGGTTTCAGCCTTTGCTTCAGTAATGCTTCCTCCTGCACGAATTCTCCTGCACTCAATTCCATTGCTGCCTTGGTGCAATTGTGACTTCACCTACACCAACCCAAATGCTGACACTCCTCAGCTGCTTCTTCGGGTGTTCTTATGTTTTCATTTCTCTGTAAACCTTTTTGCAGCTCCCACCCACAGCAATACAAATATTATTTTTCCAGTAGCAGTAATAACATAAAACAACATTTATTGAACTCATACTGTGTGGCAGGCACTGTTGTAAGTACTCACATGTTAATTTATCTTTAAAACCACTTTACCAGGTTGGTACTTCATATCTCCCCTTTACATATAAGTGAAGCACATAGTAAGAACTTAAATGATTTTCAACCAGTGAACAAATAAACATGTCCTTTGAGCCTTATATTCCTCCTGACAGCAAGTACTGGGCTAAGAATATAGGGTGTGTTCAGATTGGAGCGCCAAAAAAGTGGTTTTCTAGACACAATAGACTTATTTTCGTTTAATAAAATATGAAAATATTAGTATGTTTTACATCTGTCACTTTAAAATTATTAATATGATTGTATTTTTAAAATATATTTTATTGATTTTTTACAGAGAGGAAGGGATAAGGATAGAGAGTTAGAAACATTGATGAGAAACATCCATCAGCTGCCTCTTGCACACCCCCTACTGGGGATGTGCCCGCAACCAAGGTACATGCCCTTGACCAGAATCAAACCTGGGACCCTTCAGTCCACAGGTCGACGCTCTATTCACTGAGCCAAACCAGTTAAGGCTATGATTGTATTTTTTAGTAGACACTAGTTATTGCAAAAAGAGAAAGAAAAAGCAAATTTGACTACTGGGGAGATTAACTGACTTTGAAAAATATGTATGAAAGTTTATTGCTGCATGTTTTTTAAAATATATTTTTATTGATTTCAGAGAGGAAGGGAGAGGGAAGAGAGATAGAAACATCAGTGATGAGAGAGGATCATTGATTGGCTGCCTCTGCATGCCCCATACTGTGGATCAAGCCCACAACCCGGGCAGGTGACCTTGACTAGACCCTTCAGCCTACAGGCTGACACTCAGTGGATAGAGTCTATCCACTGAGCCAAACCAGCTAGGGCTATTGCTGCATGTTTAAAGCACTATAAAGTGCTTTTTTTCTTTCTAGTTTACGTTAAAATTAATTGGGCTTGCTTGACTTTTCTTAAGCCTGAAGTTTTCTTAGTCATTATTACTTGATTAGAACAATTATATTTCCTGATTCTTAAATAATGAATTGAATTCAACCTTTAATATACATAGAATATACTATCGTCACTCTGTTTATGTCTTCAAATAATCATAGTTCAGCCCTAGAAATGAAATACAGCCATCTTTTCTGCAAAAGAGAGAATTCTTAAAATTTCCCTATTCCATCCAGCCTATATTTTAACATATTACTCTTTGATGCTACACACATACACCAAGTTCCCTGTAATTCCCTCTCTTCTTTTAAGCATTCCAACAGTTTGTGTTAAATTCTTTATTTCATCTTCTTAAAACATCCTCCTTCCCTGATAATATTTTAGTTCTAGCACTGAGAGGGATCTGCACTATGGGTTGTACTGTGATTATCCAGTTGTGTGTTTCCTGCTATATTTGAGTTCTTTTAGAGCTGGAGCCTATTGCACTCATCTTTAAATTCACAGAGCTACCTTGTACACATTTTATAATATCTACTAAATAAATGTTTATTGGCCTGAAATAGTTTAGCAGGATGGGAAGTCCAAGGGTCATGAATAAAGTTAGAAAACAGTGTAGCATTTGTGTGAACCACATAAAAATATTCCTCCCCTCCCCGAATAGCTTTTGGAAACAGCATTAGTATAAAAATTAAATAAAATAACCCTGACTTGTGTGCTCAGTGGTTAGAGTGTTGCTCTCTGCCCCATCAGAGTACGTGCAGCAGGCAACCAGTCAATGTGTCTCTCTCACGTTGATGTTTCTCTCTCTCCCCTCTCCCGCCCTCCCTTCCACTCTCTCCAAAAAGCAATGGGAAAAATATCCTCAGGTGTGGATTAACAAAAATAATAATTTATCTTTCATATCTACTAGCAAGATATTAATGATGGAAAGGCTATCATTGACTTTGAGTCAAAGAAGCCATTAAAGGATTCTGAATTCAGCTCTTTGAAAACTCAAGATAAGAGCTATGAAGAAGATACAAAGTGTTCTATCCCTAAGCTAAAGGATCTGAAGGAAGAACATGAGGTAGAAGGAAAGATTTTTTTAATGTAATTAATGTAATACAAATAATCCATAAGTGAAGGGGTCTGGAGTGAAATAGCTCTTTAAACCTTACTGTTGCTTTCAGTGCAGTCAGAGTATCTGCCACAGATGAATTATAAATTCTCCCTTCAGCAGTCACCACGACCAAAGTAGAAGCAACATAGTCTTGATCACAAAAAAGAAAGGGCCTTATCTGGCTTTCGTGTGTCCGAAACGACCCCGTAGCTTTGAGTAATGTTCAAGAATTATGCAGTGATTAGAAACTAGTGTTGAGAAACAGTATTAGGAAAACGCATCAGGAAAAAATTCTGGTAACTTTTTTGGAGGACATATTTATTTTAGTCAAATGTTTATGAACACACAGCTTCAAGTCCCCCATAACTCTTCCCCCTACATTTCCTGTTTCACAGAGCAATCATTTTCATCTCTTTCAGCTGCTGCTTTTGGAATTTACCTCTATTTCATTACATAACATGCTTATGTTATTTATTAACAGTTAACTCTGTATATATGGACCACACACATTTATTTCAGTTAACTCTGTATGTATGGACCACACACAACCATATCCTTTTTACCTCCCCCCACCATCTCACCAATACAGTTAACAAACTTTCTGTTAGCTCACCATTCAATATTTAAATCAGTGTTATGACTCTGTAAATGCTGTTCACAGCCAAGTAGTTAGTTACAGCAACTTTTCCTTCCCTGCACAGCTTCTATTTTCTTGTGTTAATGTTTCTTTTTAACCCAACATACAATAAAATTGACTTTCTTTCGATGCCCTGTCCTGTCGATTTTAACACATGTATAGTTTTGTGCTTCATCCTCAGTTTTACTCTTGGGAAGACCCGCTGGCCTTCCAGAGGGAGGAAGACTTGTAGCTTCCTGGGTCCTTGAGATGGGAGTCCTTGAATCTGGTGCTCTAACTACTACTGCTTTTTTTTGCATTTTTTATTTTTTAATCATAATTTACTTTCAGTATTGTCTTGCATTTGTTTCAGGTGTACAGCATAATGGTTAGACCAGTGGTTCTCAACCTTCCTAATGCCGTGGCCCTTTAATATAATTCCTCATGTTGTGGTGACCCCCAATTTCATTGTTACAAATTGAACATAATTAAAGCACAGTGATTAATCACGAGAACAATATGTAATTATATATGTGTTTTCTGATGGCCTTAGGCGACCCCTGTGAAAGTGTCGTTCAACCCCCAAAGGGGTTGCGACTCACAGGTTGAGAACCGCTGGGTTAGACAGTCATATCCTTTTCAAAGTGGTACCCCTGATATTTCCAGTAGCCACCTGGCACCATACATAGTTATAGCAATAATATTGACTATATTCCCTATGCTGTACTTTATATCCCCGACTGTTTCGTAAATACCAATTTGTAATCTTAATCCCTTCACCTTTTTCACACTCCAGTCTACCTGGCAACCACAAGTCAGATCTCTGTGTCTATGAGTCTGTTTCAGTTTTGTTTGAATCTAACTGCTTCTTACTCAGATTTTTCAACCAGTGCTTTTGTTTCTTTTCCACATTACCCCCTTACTTTAAAAAAACACCTTGTGTGACAATTCCTGCACTTTCGTGGTAACAGTGGTATAAATTTGGGTTTATTCTTAGTTTTTCCACTGCAAGCTCAGGGTTCCACTGTCTCAGGACTGCTGATCAGCTGTCACTTGTCTGCTTTCCTGTATCCAGAATGTAGATGATATTTTCTGTTCTTTTGTCCCCTTTGACCATGAGTTTATACCTTAAATTTCTTTATTTTATTTTGGTGATATTTCAGGAGGGAGAGAGTAATAAATTGTGTATTCAAACTGCCATCTTTACCTGGAATCAGAAAAATTATAAACCTAAATTTTAGAATGTGCTCATATAGGAATTATAAATTAAAGCTTTTCTGTCTTCTGATACTTTCTAGGATGAGATCCCCACTGGAATGCCATGCCTGGAGTCAGTGACCATAGGTGATGATGTTTGGGATGAAAACTGGTTACCTTTGCGAGCTAAAGTGGGAAAAGAGAGTGATGCCTCCCACTTATGTACCTCCAGCCATGGTGGAAAGAAGCCATACCTGTCCGGTAAAGAAATGCCAGAGAAGGTTAGATCCTTGAGAAAACAAAGTGAATCATATTGAAAAAAGCACATGTAAACTCAACTGTTCACACCTCAAGAAAGCCATTCATACTTCAAAATGATTTATCAGAAGATAATTTAAAAAAATACACAGTTTCTTTTACACACAGTTTCTTTTTTAACCCAGCATACAATAAAATTGACTTTCTTTTGATGCCCTGTCCTGGTAGTTAGTTATGGTAGGAAGGGGGATAGAATGAAGTAGGGATGAATAAACCATGGGCTTATTGTGCCTATCTGCCCTTTCAGTCATGATTTTTGTTTCATCATTGGCATCTGGTCAGGGCCTTAGGGTCTATAGGTAAACCGTTTTCCCTAATTTTGTTTTTGCTGAATTAGTCTTAACTTCTGGATGTCAGCAGTGAGAGAACATTTGCTAATATTGGTCCTAACTAGATATTTAAATTTTCATTTATTTCCCACCGGTTATGAAAAAGAATATCTGCAGTTAAGGTGTTGCTTCTAATTTATGCCATTTCAATAATACATGATCATGAAAAATCATCTAGCCATGAAAACAGTATTGAGGAAAATACTGCAAATAACTCATTTGTGTTTATGAGATCTGTGTATTCAGAGGAATTCAGGATACTGGGTATGGGTCAATCAATAATGAAAGGAGGAAAAGGCATACTGATACAGAAAATTAATCAGTACCTTTTCTTGTTTAATATACATTGACTCCTTGTCTTTACTTTGCCCAAGTTATCCTCTGTTTGGGCCATGTGTCACTATTTCTCAGTTTATTGTTGCAATTTTTTCTCTGTAGGATTGGTGTTTTTCTACACAAGATACATGGGATGATGATTCATGTCAGCCTTTAGGCCTTGTGAATGGAATGCAAGTAGAAGCTCAAAAACAAGGACTGGGTGCTCAGGAAAAAGATACTGGGACAACCAGCACTCAAAAGGTGAATGTCTAATGAATGTTATTTTCACAGGTTTGCATGAGGAAAGTGCTTTCATTTTAGAATGTAAAATTCTGGTTAATGATCCCTCCCTTAGCATTTTATAGAATACATATACATACAATGTATGTTGATTTTAAAAGTTCAGTGAACTTAATACTTAAAAAGAAAATCCTGAGCCTCAAATTAAAAGATTGATTAAGCATCTATGTTAGGGATACGTAAACAGGTATTTTTTTATAACTTAGCTGTAAATTTTAAGCTCTATATCTGTCCTGTTATTTAGGCCTGTTTTCTTTCATGTTGTTTGGCAGGCGCACTAACCCTGGAACAAAATACATTTGTTTCTCAACTATGTTTTGAGCTTCCTGAAAACAGCAGGACAATTTGTGGTTTTGTATGTGAAAATTTGGTACTCCATTCACTTAGCCCAAATTCAGTCTCTCTTTGGGACATTCGTCTTTTTCTCTTAAGACATGGTTTGTTTTTTTCTGAAGTTTTACATATGTCTCCTTCCCCCCCATTGACCTCCCCCTCCCTCCCACCCCGAGGGCAAGCCCCCACTGCCGTTATAGCGGCATAGTATTCCATTGTGTAGATGTACCGCAGTTTTTTAATCCACTCATCTGCTGATGGGCACTTGGGCTGTTCCAAATCTTAGCTATGGTGAATTGTGCTGCTGTGAACATAGGGGTGCATATATCCTTTCTGATTGGTGTTTCTGGAAGCCATGCTTTCTTAATATTCCATTGTGTCACTTCTTCTGAGGAACCCTCCATTGAATTGCTTTGTGTTGCAGTTAATGCATCTTCATGGCTAGCTGCAGCACACACCGTTTCCCAACAGGACTCTGAGCTCCTTAGGTCACATCTTCCTGGAAAATGATGTGGGTGAGCACAGAGAGCACACACTGGACTGAGTTCACATCTCTGTCTTGTCATTTATTGATTGACATTGGATAACTTACTCTAGCTCTCTGTAATACAAACACATAACACCTAACCAAAAAGGGTCACTGCGATGTTGAAATGAAGAAACATTTGCAAATAACCTAGCACTGCCTCTCGTTTCCTCCCATTCTTCCGTAGCTGTGTATGGCAGTGCTTGGTAGGTGCCATGTTTGCTCAAAAATGTGTTCAGTGAATGTTTTGATGGTCACTAAGTTAGTGGACTTGTTTTTTCCAGAAAGTATCTAGATTCTTAAAAATGATTTTTAAAATTTATGATATAAAAATATTTATTTTTTATTTATAAGTAAGGAAACAAAACAGGCTTAATCCTTCCATTATAGTAACAGTTACTTTCCATGGCTTTGCCTCCTTTTTCCCCACTCTGCAGCAACCAAATTCAGAAGGTTCTTCCTCTTCTTCCCCATTGCCCAAGTTGGAAGAGTTCTACATCTCTCTTATCCAGTCACAGCAGTCAGCAGAAGGGAGCCCGGGCGAGCTGCACAGCATCCAGACGCAGCCACAGCAGGCTCAGCTCTCTGCAGCAGCACTCGACTCCCCCCCCACCATGGTGGACTCCCCAGAAAAACACTCTGGTTCAGGTAGGTTTACATAAAACTGGCAAATGTGACTCACCACGTTGCTAAAAAAAAAGTATCTTTTCCAGAACATGAATTGGAAAATGCTGACTTTAGCATTTGTCTCAAGTGCTGGGCTCAGTTGTTCCCTTTCACTTTGCCACTCTTCTTTTCTTCCTGCAGTTTGGGAGGTGTCAGGTTTACGTACAGTAAAATTTTCCGGTTTATACAATTTTGTGAATTTTGACAAATGTATACAGTCTCATAACTGCCACCACAATTGTGATGTGGGATGTTTACATTAATCTGAAAGTTTTGTCATGTTTCTGTGCAGTCACTCCCGCCCCCTGCTTGCTGGCTTCTGGCATGTTACTTTTCCTTTTCTAGAATTTCATCAAGTTTATAATTTTTATGTGTGAAGAAGAAGAAAGTGACTTCTTTCATTTAGCAAAATGTTTTAGAGCAGTGGTTCTCAGCCGGGGCTGCACATTAGAATCACCTGGGAATCTTTTTAAAATCCTGATTTCTGGGCCTCGTCCTCCAGAAATTCTGTTTCTTTGTTATGGGGTGGGGCCACAACATTAGTAACAAAGATACAGATTTCTGGAGAATGAAGCCCAGAAACCAGAATTTTAAAGATTCCCAGATGATTCTAATGTGCAGCCACAGTTGGGAACCACTGTTTTAGAGATTCATTCAAGTTGTTACTAGTGTCAAAGTGTGTTTCTGTTTATCGCTGAGTAGTAACCAAGTGTGTTGGATATACTACAGGTTGTTTATCTCTTCCCCAGATGATAGCCATTTAGTTTGTTTCAGGGTTTGTGCCATTATGAATAAAGCAGCTGTGAAATTCACGTACAGCTCTTTGTGTAGATATAATGTTTTTTATTTCTTTTTAGTACATATTTCAGAGTGGACGCGCTGCGCCATTCCACTACATATGGTCACTGCATTCTTTTTAAAAGCTGCCAAGTGTTTTCCAAAGTCGCTGTACCTTTTGTGTTTATACCAGCAACGTATGAAAGTTGTGATTGCTCCACATCCTTGCCAACACATGATATCATCAATCTTTTTAAATTTTGCCATTTTAGTAGGTGTGTAGTGGTATCTTATTGTGGTTTTAATATACATTTCCCCATTTGCCAATGATTTTGACAATTTTTTCATGTGCTTATGTGCCATCCTTATATCTCATTTAGTGGATTATCTGTTCAAGTATTGGCTAATTTTTGTTGTTGTTGTTAATCCTCACATGAGGATATTTTTCCATTGCTTTTCAGAGAGAGTGGAAGGGAGGGAGGGAGGGAGGAAGGGATGGAGGAAGGGGAAAGAGAAGCAGAAACATGGATGTGAGAGAGACACATCAACTGGTTGCCTCCCACATGCACCCTGATCGGGGCAGGGAGCAAACCTGAAACCCAGGCATGTGCCTTTGACTGGGAATCGAACCCAAAACCTTTTGGTGTGCTCTCTAGCACTCCAACCACTGAGCAACACCAGCCAGGGCTTGGCTAATTTTTATTGGACTATCTCCTTTTTGATTTGTAAAATATTCTTTATTGTAGACATAAATCCTTTGTCAAACATAATATGGGAAATATTGTCTCCCAGTTTGTGGCTTGCCTTTTAATTTCCTTATTAGCATCTTGGGAAGAACAAAAGCTTTCATTTTGGTGAAGTCAGATTTGTTAATTTATTTTTCTTTAAAGTTTTGAGTTGTTTTTTTTATTCTATGTAGAAATCTTTGCTAACCCAAGTAAGGTTTTCTCTTATATTTTCTTAGAAAAGTTCTATAATTTTAGACCTTACATTTAGGTCTGTGATCCAATTCATTGATTTTTTTGCAAATGGTGTGATATAAGGATCAGTGTCTGTTACCATGTGTATAGTATGAAAACGTTATAATAGCATACTTCCATTTTTCCCATCCCATCCTTTGAGCTATTGTTATATATTTTACTTCTTCACATATTGTAAGTCTCAAACTCCATTCTTACTATTTTTGCTACAGTCAATTTTCTTTTTAAAAATATTAAAAATGAGAAAATTCTTTTTTGTTCATTCATTTGTCTGTTATATCTAGTGTTCTCTATTTTATTGTGTAAATTAGGAAATCTGATTTTTACAGCAACCCTATTCTGTAAACAGCCAGAAAGTAAATAGACCATATTTCCATAGACCATATGGACTATGTTGCAAATACACACCTCTGTAATATAGCCCCAAAGAAGCCATAGATAATATGCAAATGGATGAGCATAGCTGTGTTCCAATAAAACTTTATTTAAAAAAACAAGTGATAGGCTGGTGTTGGCCCACCGGCTGTAGTTTGCCAATGCCTGTTGTAAATCCAACTTTCCATCCGTTTTTCTTTTTCTTTTTCTTTTTTTTTTGCTTGAAAAACTTTAAATTTTCTTGTAGTACAGGTCTGCTACTGGTGTATTCTCTCAGCTTTCATACATTACAAAAAGTCTTTATTTTTCCTTAATTTCTTTAAGATTATTTTTCTGGATAGAAAGTTATAGGTGGACAAATTTTCAGTGCATTAAAAGATGTCACTCTGCTTGTCACTGTTTCTAACAAGAAGTCTGTTGTTCTTATTTTTGTTCCTCTGTATAATAGTCCGCCCTTATTCGTGGTTTTGCTTTCTATGATTTCAGTTATCCAGAGATAATTCATAAGTTTTAAATTGCATGTTGTTCTGAGTAGCATGATGAAATCCTATGCCATCCTGGTTCTTCATGCCCAAGATATGAATCATCTCTTTTCCAGCATAGTCACACTATATGCATTAACCACCCTTTAATCACTTAGTAGCCATCTGGGTTATCAGATCCGTTATGAGATAGAGGAAGACACACACATACACACACCACATTCACATAACGTTTATTATAGTATATTGTTAGTATTATTCTATTTTATTATTTCTTGTTGATCTCTTAATGTGCCTAATTTATAAATCAAACTTTATCATAATTATACATATACATATATATAGTGTTCGGTACTATTCGTGGTTTCAGGCATCCACTGGAGTTCTTGGGACATATCCTTCATGGTTAAGGGGGGACACTACTGTAATGTGGTCTTTTCTCTGGATGCTTTGAGATTTTCTCTCATTACTGGTTGCAGCAATCTGATTTTGAGGTGCCTTGGTGTGGTTCTCTTCCTATTTCTTCTGTCTGGGGTTCATTGAGCCTCTTGGTCTGTAAGTTTATAGTTTCCATTACATTTGGAAGAATTTAAATCATTACTTCTTTAAATGTTTTTTCAATCACCCTCCCCCCTTCTTTTACTCCGTTTTCACATTACACATGTGATAGATCACTTGATATTGTTCCATAGCTCACTAATACACTTTCTTTTTCCCCAGTCTTTCCTTTCTGTGTTTCATTTTGGATAGATTGTATTACTATGTCTTCAAGTGTACTAACTTTTTCTTGTTCCATGTGTTATATGTTCTTTTCCCATTCAATATATTTTTCATCTGAGGGACTATGTTTTTCATCCCTAGAGGTTTGGTTTGGATCTTTTTTATATCTTCCATTTTTCTCCTCATCATAGTCATATTTTCCTCCGCCTTCTTGAAAACTTGGCATTTCCGTATAACAGCTATTGTCATACCCTTGTCTTGCAATTCTAGCATATATATCAGTTCTGCATTCTTGCATCTCTATCATTTTTTTAATCAGCCTCTATTGGTTGATTTTTCTCCTGATACCAGGCCATTTTTTCTGCTTCTTTGCATAACTGGTAATTTTTTATTGGATGGTAGACACTATTAATTTTACGTTATGGTCAGATCACTGCTTGGCCCAAGACTCAAAGGGACCTCTCGTAGACTGCCAGCTGCTTCTCTCTCCATCTCTGATACTTTCCTCCCAAATTCCAGACTCGTCTTCTGAGCCCAGTAAGACCTCCAGCCTCAGTTTGGATTCTTCCTCCTGTACTGCAGCCTGGAGGCCATCTCCAGTGAGCTGAGGCACTTACTGGGCTCACTTTGTTTTCTCACCTCCTCTTTGGGATCTCTGTCCTGCACATTTGTTGTTCAGGTCTGAAAGCTGTTTTTTCCTATATTTTGTTCAGTTTTCCAGTTGCTTAAAGCAGGAAGTTTGTTTTTCAATCCTTGTTAAATTAACATCATGTCTGGAAACAGTTTTGCTGCTCTTTTAAATTTTTGATCACGTGACCCTGCTTTGATATTTTTATACTTTTGGAAACCTGAGCTCACCGAAGACCTCCTGTCAAACCGCATTATTGCATTAGAACACACCATCTTTTTCCTCTCTTGTGGGCATCAATTATAGTTTTAATGATTGCAGTTTTACTTTTTAGAATAACATGTCAAATCTTGAATATAATTAATTAATCAAAATGTATGGAACATATACCACATGCTACTACTGTAGCTAGTGCTAAAGATGCAGAAGTGAATAAAATACTGGATTATACCTGCTATTTTCTCTGATTTTTAAAATTATTATTATTTTTAAAAATATATCTTTATTGATTTCAGTGAGGAAGGGAGGGGGAGAGAGAGATAGAAACATCAATGATGAGAGAGAATCATTGATTGGCTGCCTTCTGCATGCCCCCACCAGGGATCAAGCCCGCAACCTGGGCATATGCCTGTGGCCGGAATCAAACCTGGGACCCTTCAGTCCATAGGCTGACACTTTATCCACTGAGTAAACAGGGCTTCTCTGAATTTTTTTTTTTAAATCTCTATTTTTAAGGTATAGAGCAGTGCTTTCAAAATGTAGTCAGCATACTGATGCCATTGTGTGAAATGTTTATATAGTGGACTGCACAATAGAGCATTGTCTAGCTCACGTAGATTTTTATTTTTCTAAAGCAGGACTTTCTTTTTTTAAAATACATTTTATTGATTTTTTACAGAGAGGAAGGGAGAGAGATAGAGAGCCAGAAACATCGATGAGAGAGAAACATCGATCAGCTGCCTCCTGCACATCCCTCACTGGGGATGTGCCCGCAACCCAGGTACATGCCCTTGACCAGGATCGAACCTGGGACCCTTGAGTCCACAGGCCGACGCTCTATCCACTGAGCCAAACCGGTTTCGGCTAAAGCAGGACTTTCTTAAAGGAAGCAGAATGCTGGAAAAAGCTACTTCTCTCATGGTGGACCAGTAATAAGTACTTCATAGATCAGCTACTTTTAGTAGAACTTCTAGAGTACACATGTGGGAATGCCTAGCATTCCCTTTTTTGGATATTGGAACTCTGAAAAATATGAGTTCCCAGCAATTTATTTCATTTAAAAGGCCCTTCCTTCCTTCCTTTCTTCCTTCCTTCCTTCTTCCCTCCCTCCCTCCCTCCCTCCCTTTCTTCCTTCCTTCCTTCCTTCCTGTTCATGGATTCGTGCACCTGTGGGATCCCTCGGCCTGGCCTGTGCCCTCTTGCAATTCGGGACCCCTTGGGGAATGTTGGAGGTCCGGTGCACAGACTGAAACCAGCAGTCTGACATCCCCTGAGGGGTCCAGGAGTGCGAGTGGGCATTCTGCAAAGTTGCTGTCGCTCAGCAGCTCCTGCGTTGAGCGTCTACCCCCAGGTGGTCAGTGCATGTCATAGCTACCAGATGGTCAGCCAGTCGGCCAGTTGCTTAGGCTTTTTTATATATATAGATATATATAATTTTTCAACCACAGTTTACATTCAGTACCATTTCACACCAGTGTCAGATGTACCAAAAAGTGGCCAGAACACCATGCACTCTACAGAGTGGTCCCTGATTCCCTAAGCACCTGCCTAGCCCCACACCTCATTATCTCACCATCATTGACTATATTCTCCATGCTGCAATCCACATCTGTGTGATTAGTCTACAACTACCAATTTTTACTGCTTAATCCCTTCACCAAAAAGGTTCTTTCTTCTTAATTGAAACTAATTCCTAAAGAATTCATGTTATAGCTAATAACTGGTTTTTAGAACTTCATAGCAACTACAGTCTAGATCAGTTTTATTTTTACTGCCACAGACTTGGAATTGGGACCGCGTTGGCAATGGACAATGCCCAGGGAAGGAAATAGGAGCACTTCAGGACTCTTCCCTGGAATTGGAATTATATCCAATCTGTTTCATATGAGATGCCCTAGAAAGAAAATTTCCATTCCTTGTTCAGGGTGCATTTTTTTTCTCTCTCTCTTTTTGCCCTCATCCAGACAGTTTATCTCAAAGCATGATTCCTCATCCTCATTTCCTTTCCATTTGTTGATTAGTTTCTAAGTCTTATCCTCTCTGATTTGCCATTGGTTCTTATCACCACCTAACGGAAGATGTTTGTAACACACAGTAGAGATCTAGAATAGGAGAGAGAAGGTAGTACGAGAATCCCTTGAAAAGACTTGTGCTTTCTTTCTTTTTCAGTGGAAAGCTCCCCAGAGAGCCTAAAGAATGAAGATTTTTCTAGTAGCCATGCTATCACAGTGTTCAAAGATAAGAGCTATGGAGCCATGGACCAGCTCTCTTTGATTTTGTCTCCTGAGCACCAGATTTCTCAGAAATTCTACATTCCTCGAAGTACAGCCACTGCTGCCTTAGGAGCTGCTGCCCGGTTAGCCACATCCAGGAGCTTCCTACACTGGTACCCCAGTGTGAAAAGGATGGAGGCATGAGGGAGGGGAGGATGAAGGAAGGGAGGGAGGGAAAGGGGAGAAAATAAACCCACTGCTTAGGGTTTGGTGATTTCCCAGGCCAAAAAATAGGACATATTGAGACAAAATAGTATTTTGGTAGTTGAGGCCTTTGTCTCTCTGTGTGACTGTGTGTTATCTTTATTGTGCTAATAGTCCATTTTGTTGTGTAAGTATTGGTATTTATTGTTAAGTTTTTCATTGATGTTGTTTTTTATTCTGTATAGTTTTGTTCACCTTTGTTCAATGTAGTAGTTTAATGGAGTTTTTGTATTTGTCGTTTCTTTATGTTGCTACATATAAATGTTTTTCTTATACATATCATGACTGATAAATGAAAACTGAAAAACTAATGTTTTGTGATCCATATTTAGTAAGATAAAAATTATCTCACATCTCTTTCTCCAGAAAAAGGATGTCTGAATCTTAAAGCTGCTTTTTCTATTCATTTGCAATCTTCTATATCAGAGAAAGAATTCAAGGCTTGAATTCTTACCATCTGTATTTCTTTGAAATACTAGGATCAGTAAGAAAATTCACATATGAAGCTTTGGTTATGGAAATACTTTCACATTAAAAAAATTAAGTTGTCTCTCAGTATAGGCAATTCTTTGGGGACAAATGACTAAATTAGAGGCTGACTGTCGAAACTGAGCTGAGCCATTTCTGTAGTCATCACAGTTCCCAGGAGCCTTAAGGTCACAGTAGTTCAATCGTGGTATTTAAGCATTTATATAACATTATGTTCTCTGGAGTCCAATTGTGTGAAATATTATATGACCTATTAAGCTCATAGTATAAACCATCAAGCGGAAAGAAAAGTTTTACAAAGGTGAAATTAAAGAATCTGAATGATACTCATTTTTTGTGTGGTAAAATACCAGACTTATCCCCAAAATATAAAAACCCTATACAGAAGCATTTCTTAGACATAAAGTCAGAGAGAGAAGTGCGAGTTACTGGCATGTAACTAGGTTCTCACCTGCTTAGCCCCTCTCCTACAGCCTCCTGTTTTAACATTAAACAGCAGAGCTGCCCCCTAGTTCCTTTCTCTCTTTCCACAATAAGGAATCTCTCCTCTTTCCTTCTCGGCTACTTAATCAGCACAGTGTCCACTGAGGAAGGGAGTGAGATGACAATGGATATGGAAATGCACTTAAATTTATAATCATACTGGCTGAAACTTATTTCTTAGAAGTAAGTAATCATACAACAAAGTTAAACCCAGAGTTGCTAACTGCTGATAGTTTTTGGTTTAAGGACCTTAGAAAAAACATGTGTATTGCAATAAGATTTAAAAATCTAGATTCACCTTTAATTCCAGTTATCTCAAAGAACGATGATATGACAACTGACCCAAAAAAATAGTAATCTGGAAACATCATTGATCCACCGGAAGGAACAGTTACTCATTTGGATTTTTGTGATTTTATATCAAGACATTTTTTATTGGAGAAGACATTTGAAGAGTTACATGGAGGGTCAATAGACGGTCAATATGGCAGTTAAATAGCACATGTGATATTGTCATATGGACTGGAGAAGCTTTGTTTTTCCTGTAAGTTTAGGTAATTATTCACAGATTTGTTTCTAAAGAAGAAAATTTATCTTAGAATTCTTTCTTTAAAGAAGAAACCAAGTTTGAGTAACATACTTCACTTCTCCAGATGGACAGTCATTGGGTTTGTGGCCAGGTAAATTTGGTAGAAGCAATGTTTACATTTTGAGTAATATTTACATTTTCCTCTGAAAATCATTCAGCCACCCGCAGGAACTCTGCCAATGCTGAGTAACCTGGCAGTGACGAATGTTACACTTGGCCAGTTAGATAGGGATTAGGGAATCCCTGTGTGAAGGCTCTTTGAGAATCCGATCCAATCGCAAGTGCCCTGACAGAGAAGAACCGTTTAGACAGTGCCATCTCACCCTGTCTGTCAACACCCTTAGAAACCCATCTAATAATTAATAGTTAACATCCTGCTTGAGTTAGCAGAGTGAAGAGCGGACCTTTGAGTGGCTTTATATTTTGACCACTTAGCTTTGACTAGGACAGCCACTCTGCCTATCCGTTTAACCTGTCTTCTCCCGAAAGGTGGGCTTTGTTTGGAGGTCAAAGCATGAAACAAATGTAATAGGTCATTTGAAGATGAGTGAATAGGTCTCTGTTTAACTGAAACAGCACAAAGCACTGTTCAGAAGATAGGTAGATGCTCCGTGGTTTAGGGTTAAATTGTATTTTATTGTTAAAAGATGGGTTGACATTTACTGTACTTAGAATAGCCCCCCTCCCCTTCCCACATATTTGGTGTTAAGGATCTATTAGAAGTAATGGAAGTCCCCAAGAAATGTTGGCTGGGAAGTAGGAGCCTGAGGTGTGTGAGAGGGAATGGGGGTGAGAACGTACAGGAAGTTCCTGGTTATAAGCTCTTTAGGAATGGAAGAGGGGGTGGCTTTACTGACAGACCTCAACTTTTGACTCCAGTGGCTTGTTGCCAATACCCCTCTTCCTTCTAAAAACACGTGGGGTATCAAAAAAAGGGGGCCATTCCAGCTACTGCCAACCATGCCTCTTCCCTCTGAGTCTCACACATCGAGGTGCCAGTTGTCCATTACGGGGGGCGTAACTAGAGGCTTCAGCCTGCAGTCAGACTACGTCTGAGAGATTGAGGATTATAGACATTTGATCTAGAAGGGATCTTAGATGAGGAAATTTGAAGCCTGGAAAGACATTCCTGGTCAGGGCACATGCCTGGATTGTGGGTCTCATTCCCAGTAGGGGGCGTGCGTGTGCAGGAGGCAGCTGATAGATGATTCTCATCATTGATGTTTCTATTTCTCTCTTTCTCTCCCTTCTCTGAAATCAATAAAAATGTATTTTTTTAAAAAGAACCTGGCAGGGGGCATTGTAAGGGATGAGAAACCAACATCTTATAAAGCCATCTTCCTGAAGCTTCCTATTAGTGTTTGTACTGTGTGGCAAGGCTTTTCTAACAAACTTCTGATGTCTTTTCAGACTTAAATTCGTCATGTTTATATATATGCCACAGACAGTATTATTCATAATTTTGCAGGAGTCATCATTAACCAGCGGTTCTCAACCTGTGGGTCGCGACCCCTTTGGCAGTCGAACGACTCATTTCTCCTATTAGTCTTCCTCAGTACTTTGGCATAACTATTTACCCTCTATTTAGGGAGGCAAACAACAAATAATTGACTTTTAAGTGTCCTTTATTTAGGGAAGACAGAGCCCTCTAGATCAGCGATTCTCAACCTGTGGGTCGTGACCCCTTTGGTGGTCGAACGACCCTTTTTTCACATGGGTCGCCTAAGACCATCCTGCATATCAGATATTTACATTATGATTTGTAACAGTAGCAAAATTACAGTTATGAAGTAACAACGAAAATAATTTTATGCTTTGGTCACAACATGAGGAACTGTATTTAAAGGGCCAGAAGTTTGAGAACCACTGACTAAGACATTTAAAAATTTCATTTCCCATAGCCCATTCAGATCTTGATGTGTTCCAAGGCGCATATCAACTAAATCTATTTACTTTGAACTTAGCCCTATTCATTTGTCTCATACAGTTAGTCACCAACCTACTAAGTTTTTGGAATCATCCAATTGGAACCAGAATGTGTAAACTCTGCTATTTGAACCACGTACACAGAAACTTTTAACCTCACAGTCAAGGACTGCTCTGATATTTAGAACCATGACTCATTGGTGTGCCACTTTTCACTTGAAATTCCTTGATCTGCCCCAAAACTGAGTAGAGAATTTATACATAGCTAAATTTTCTTGGTTATAAACATAGTTTTCAGGAAATGCTTTTAGCTTTCTGTTTTATTTTAAATTTTGTTTTATATTATTGTTAAAATTAAAAAAAAATATTTTCCTGTAGAGAAGGCACTGAGCCAGGAGTCAGCAGATAAGGGAATTTAAGCAGTGTGACTGGAGGCAAGTCAGTCTTTAAAAATATTTTTTAATTTATGGAAAAATGGTCATACAACAATGTGTTTAATATTCTTGATGCAATTTAGATAAATTGGTGAGGAAACCAAATTCATGAATCTCTGCTCTCTAAACGTTTGTTATAGAACAAACAGATAGTTATTGGGATTAAGGAATTATTATTAACCTAATCTTTGGCGTTTGTAACAGCATTTTGCTTGCTTTATTTAAATATTTATGAAGTTGGAATTTGTTTCTTCAAAAGTGTCTAGGCTGTTTGTTTTTTAATTAGCTTTTTTGTTGTGATGATTCTGCAGAAATGAAAACTTCATTTAAATATGTGACTGAAAGAACTTGAGTAAAATACCAAATTTCCTTGTGTAGTTGTGAAACCAGAGATTTGATATTCTTCTTGACTAAAATATTTGTCTTCATTTTTGGCGCGACCTCTTTATTCTCACTTTAGCCTTTGTAAACCTTTGCTATATTGTAAATAAATACCTTTATTTCATGAAGCTGGAAATTAACTCGCACTGGAGCCACTTCTTAAATATCTGACAGTCACATTTCTAAGACTTGTTTTCTTATGTTTATAGGAACATAGCAAACCCTTATAAGCCATCTTCTGGTTTCTTAAGTTCTTAAATCACTGAATACCAGTCCTCATCGCATCTTGTGGCTGTGTTGCCTTGATTTCCTGAAGCCACATTCAGAGCCTTTGCTGCAATAATTCTTCCGCCTAAAGCAGATTATTTACTGGTGTTCCTCAGACTCCTCTCAGGTGACATTTCCTACAAACTTTTCTTTCATCTGTCATCCCACTGTACTCTTAAGTGGAAACCAAAGGCAGCTAAGTTCATAACTTACTAGAAAAATTACTTCTTGACAAAGCATACTATTAGTGTAATGTTGATATTCACGGAAAGCCTCCTCTTATACCACACATGAAAATATCTGTCAGTTAAATAAAACTTTATTTATTTAGGATACTGTTAGGCAAAGCATATTCCTGAGGGATTTTCCGTATT